GTTAGCACATACCAAGGCATGTGTGTGGAGGTAACAGAGCAACTTTTGGATTCTAGGTATCAAACTGAGGTTGCCTGGTGGTAAGCACCTTTACTTGCTGAGCCATCATACTGGCCGTTTTTTTAAAAGCAGGGTTTCAGACAGGCCTCTAAAGATGCCCTTGAACTTCTTATCTTCCTGCATCTGCCTAGGATTACAGGTGTGCACCATCACATTGGCTTAGGTGGTGCTAGGGATGGAACCCAAAGCTTTGTGTCTACAAGGCAAGCACTCTACCAATTGATCATGTGTTTTTTAAAAAAAGTTAAGAGTTTCTCTCCCTCTTTTTTTTTTTTTTTTTTTTTTTTTTGAGACAAGATCTCCCTGTAGCCCCAGCTGTCCTGGAACTCACTATGTAGACCAGGCTGACCTTGAACTCACAGAGATCCACCCACCTCTGCCTCCTGAGTGGTGGGATTAAAGGCATGTGCCACCACTCCTGGCAGAGTCCTTATTTTATTTATTTACTTATTTATTTATTTATTTATTTATTTATTTATTTTAAGTGCACCACATGTGTGCAGTGACCAGAGGCCAGAAGGAGGTGTCAGATCCCTTGAAACCAGAGTTAAGGGTGACTGTTAGCTGCCATGTGGGTGCTGGAAACTGAACCTGGGTCCTCTGCAGAGCAGTAAGTTCTCAACCACTGAGCCATCTCTCCAGCTCCACATTTGTTTTCATAAAGCCAGACACCTAGGACCTGGAGACACACTAATGAGCAAAACAGTGCCTTTACTCCCACAAAACAGGCATTTCTTTCTGCTTATTTTTTAAATTACATACAAATCACTTAAAAATAATTTAAACCATGTATAATAATGTAGACAGTTGTTAGCTGCCATGTGGGTGCTGGGATTCAAACCTGGGTCTTCTGCAAGAACAACCAGTGTTCTTAACCATTGAGCCATCTCTCCAGCCTGCATGTAAGTGCACCCATGTAGTGCAGTGCCTGTGGAGGACAGAAGAGGGCATAACTGGAGTTATGAATGGTTGTTAGCCGTCATGTGGGTGCGGGGATTTGAAACCTGGTCCTCTGCAAGAACAGCCAGTGCTCTTAAACACTGAGCCATCTCTCCAGCCCTGCATGGAGGTAAGTGCACCCGTGTCGTGCAATGCCCGCAGAGGACAGAAGAGGCTGTCAGATCCCCTGGAAATAGAGCTATGGACAGTTGTTAGATACCATGTGGGTGCTGGGACTCGAACCTGGGTCCTCTGCAAGAACAGCCAGTGTTCTCAACCGCTGAGCCATCTCAACTGAGTCCTTATTTTTTAAAGATACAAATGAAATATTTGTGAGTGAAAAGGAATGTTGGCTGATAATGCTTCAGAACAATTAAAAAACAGAAGAATGGAGTGAAAAAAGATTGACCTCAAGTAGGTCGTTGTTGAAGGTGGGAGTTCTTTTTTTAAAAAAATATTTTATTTATTACTTTTATTTTATGTGTATGAGTGCATTGCCTGCATGTATGTGAGTGCATCCGGGTGGTGCAATGCCGTGGAGGTCAGAAGAGGGCTTTGGATTCCCCTGGAACTGGAGTTAAAGAGAACCTGGAAGGTCCTCTGCAAGAGCAGCCCGTGCTCTTAACCGCTGAGCCATCTCTCCAGCCCCCAAAGGTGGGAGTGCTTAATACCACTCCATCTTGTAACAGCTCATTAAACTTTATATCCTTGCATAGGTTCAACATAATAATGTCTCTTGTATGTGTCTGATATTTCCTATATTTTATTAAAGGTACTTAAGTGTAATTAGAGGCCCTTGAAAGCATAATCTAGCTAGCGCCATCCCCTAACCAGGCCCTGGAACTTTCTAGAAGTTTCTTCTCTACCAGTAGAACTTAACACCTACTGAATCCTCCGATGGCCCCTGCTGGTCCCTGTTAGCCCTGCTGGTATGAGCTCCCTGGCCTGCTGCCCCAGGTGTCCCAAGCCCCCAGGTGCCAAGCCTTCAGTGGGCCTCCTGGCCAGGGGCTGAGCTCTGAGCATAACAGACTCCTCAGAGACTCTCCATCCTCTGGAATGGGCTCCATTCAGTCCCAGAAGATGGCTTGAGGAAAGTTTGTGAGACAACATTGTGATTGATCAGAGCTAATGACTTCCCAAAAGAGCTGTGGTTGGACACTGAGCTGCTCTCCCCAAAACAGGACTAGATAAACACACTTGAGTGAGAAACACACAGAGCTGGGCTGTCTCAATGCATGGTCACTGTGAGGCTAACAAGCATAGGATGCTATTCCCACCAGCAGGACTGTTGTACATAGAAAGTGAATGGTTGCTACTGTGGCCTGGGAGAGCTAGAACCATGGAAGAGAAGTGTCAGTATTTTCTGTTGCTACAACAAGATACCTAAGCTGAATACTTTATAAAGAATAAGAGGTTAGGGGCTGGAGAGATGACTCAGTTGATAAGAGCACTGGCTGTTCTTGCAGAGGACTCGGGTTTGGTTCCCAGCACCCACATGGCAGTTAACCACCTATAACTCCAGTTCCAGGAGATCTGACACCCTTGTCTGACCTCTGCAGGCATTGCACGACAGGGTGCACTTACATACTCGCAGGCAATACACTTATACACAATAAATAAATTTAAAAGAGAATAAGAGGTTAGTTTAGCTCAGAATTCTAGAATAGTATTGGGTGAGGGCCTTCATCCTATGTCCTAACGTGGAGAAGACTTCACATGCAAGATAGAGCAAGCACAGAGGCTGGAGAGATGGCTCATGCTGCTCCTGCAAAGGACCAGAGTTCAATTCCTAGCACCAATATCAGGCAGCTCACAGCCACATGTAACTCCAGTTCCAGGGTATGCATTTCCTATTTCTGGCCTCCATAGTCATCTGCACATGCATATAGACACACATGTACACATAAATAAAAAATAAAGTAAATCTTTGAAAAAAAAAAAAGGTAAACCGAACACAATAACCTGGTACTCTTCATCTTATAAAGCCTCTATCATTAGAGCCCCACCCTTATAACCTCATGTAATTCTAATTACCTCTCAAAGGCCCCACTTCCAAATACCATTGACACATGGTTTGGGAGATTAAAATATCTAGCATGTGAACTTTATTAAAAATTGTTTTATTTTTGAGAATTTGGTATATGAGTATTGCATTTGCATTATTTCCGTCCCTCCCAGTCTCCCTCCAGCTCCTCCTATGCCCCCCTCCCAATTACTTTATCTTTTTTAGTATTGTTACATACATAAAGCTATAAATATACATATATACTGCACTGACTCCATTTAGTGGTACTCATATGTATCTGTATTTAGGACTGGCCACTTGGAATTAGATAATCTCTCAGGGAGCTAATCCCTGGAAAAAACTGACTTTCTGTCAGTCAGCATCCATTGATTGCCTGCAGCTCTTCATCTTGAGGTGGGACCCCTGTGAAACTTCCCCCATCCACCTTGGCATGTTCACTGGTTTTGTCATGCAGATCTCATTAGACTACCATACCACGTGGTGAGTTCATTGGTGTGCTTCCCTATCACAGCTACAATGCATTGACCAGCAGCAGGTGTCTTGTCCCTCTGGTTCTTACATTCTTTCTGTCCCCTCTTCCATGATGCTCTCTGAGCCGCAGGTGTAGAGGTTGCATTGTAGAAACATCATTTAGGACTGGGCGCCTCACAGTCACTGACTCTCTGCGTTTGACCAGTTGTGGAACTTTGTAATAGTCTCCATCTGTTGCAAAAAGGAGCTTCTTTGATAAGTGGTGAGAGGTGCACTTGTCTGTAAATATAGGGATATGTATTTAGAATTAGCAAGAAATGATTTTGGTCTGTAGGGAAGTGGATAGAAGTAGGTTATTCTCTAATCCTATGAACATGAACTTTTGGAAGGTACATTCAAAGTACAGCAAGGAGTCATTCCACGAAAGACCTGTGTCTGCTGACGGAATTTGTCTAAGCAGGAAGGAAGTCAGGAGACAAGGAGCCTGGCTCATCCCTTTTCTCGAATTCTTACCTCTAGCCAGAAGTCAGAAGGCAACGGAACCAGGGTGATGGGGTTTTTAGAAGCTAGATTCTTGGGAATGAGGATGTAGCTCAGTTGGTAGAGTGCTTGCCCTACATACACAAGGACCCTGAGTTTGATCACATAAACCAGGCGTGGTGGGGTACAGAATCTCAGTACTCAGGAGGTAAAGGCAGGAGGATGTGAAGTTCAAGGTCTTCCTTGGCTACATATTGAGTTCAAGGCCAGCCTGGGATATGTGAAAGCTCCTGTCTCAAAAAAAAAAAATGTTGAGAATGCTTCAAAGACACAGAAAGATGGAGCCTGGTGGTAGGTAGAAGGTGTTGATGGAAAATAACTGGAATTAGAATTAGAGAATGAGTCTTGGGCTTTGAGTCGTGGTGAGTTGAACACCCTTGATCAGTGTGTGTAGCTGCCTTTGGAGTTGAACTGGGTGGGCTTAGTGTGACACACAGAAGCTTCGCCCTTTCTTTTTAAAGATTTTAAAAAATTTCATGTATGAGTGTTTTGCCTGCATGTATGTATGTGTACCATGCCTGCACCTGGTGTCTAAGGAGGCCAGAAGGTATTGGGATTCCTGGAACTGGAGTTACAGATGGTTGTGAGCTGCCATGTAGATGATAAGACCCAAACCTTGGTCCTCTGCTAGAGCAGCCAGTGCTCTTAACTATTGAGTTGTCTCTCTACCCCTCTTTTCTTCCCTTCCCCTTCCCCTTTCTCTTTTTCTCTTTTTGACACAAGTTCTCATGAGGCTGGTCTGAAACCCTCTGTGTAGATGAAGGTGACCTTGAATTTCTAATCCTTCCGCCCCTACCTCCTAAGTACTAGGATTAAAGGCATGTGCCACTACACACACTTTATGTGGTACTGGGGATCAAACCCACAGCTTCATGGAAGCTAGAGATACCAACTGAGCTACCTCTCCAACCAGGAAGAATAGATTTTTCAGTGATGAAAAGCTAACCATCTCCTTTTTGCCTAGGTTCTGACTCTTGTGTTCCTTTGATCCTAGGGGAGACCTTCCAGCCTCCCAATGGCAGCTGGCCCCTGAGTCATAATGAGAGCGACACTGAGGCCACCCTGGCTGTGAACCTCACCTTCTCCTACTACCAGCACTCCTTTCCAGTGGCAGCCATGTTCATTGTGGCCTACTCACTCATCTTCTTCCTCTGCATGGTGGGTAATGCCCTGGTCTGCTTCATTGTGCTCAAGAACCGACACATGCGTACTGTCACCAACATGTTCATCCTCAACCTGGCTGTCAGCGACCTGCTTGTGGGCATCTTCTGCATGCCCACCACCCTTGTGGATAACCTCATCACTGGTGAGTGTGACCCAGGGCAGCAGGAGAGTCCCCATCCTCCACTCCCACTCTCCAGCCAAAGTCTGAGAAGGAAGCTTGGAAAACAGAGATCACTGGGCTGGGCTGGCCCCTTGGCCAAGGGGCCATTGTATCAAACTCTGACAGCATTGTGGCTGAAGAATTAGCCTAGAAATAAGTGGTCTAATGGATCAATCATTTTCGTTCTGTCAGACACTATGTTGCAGATACATTGTATGCTATCTTAATTAATCCTATCAGCAATCCAACCATCCATTTCATGGATGAAGAAACATGTTCAGAGTAGTTAAAGGACTGGTCTGTAGTTACAAAGCTTGTCAGTGTCGTGGCCTATATTCTCACCTCCCTGTCATATCGCTTTACTCTCCAAAAGAGCTCTCACAGGCAGAACTAGAGCGGGGTGGTGGTGGGGAGTAGCAGGTGTGCAGCTTTCTATTTTTTTATTTATTTGCTTATTATTTATTTACTTATTTTGTCTTTTTTTGAGACAGGGTCTCCTTGTAGCCCTAGCTGTCCTGGAACTCACTGTGTAGACCAAGCTGACTTCAAACTCACAAAGATCCGCCTGCCTCTGCCTCCCAAGTGCTGGGATTAAAGGCGTGCGCCACCACGCCCGGCCCAGCTTTCTTTTTAATAAGAAACTGGAAACCCATACCTTTGAGCTTACCTGATAGTCCTGTCTTGTAGGTAGTGAGCTCCTGAATCCTGGGAGTGTACACGTAGGGACAGGCCAGCCACTGAGCAGGAATTGGGTAGGAGGTATTTAAGCTGAAGCAGACCATCTGCCTTCTAAATTCCTGCAGATGTCGTAATCTATCATCTATCTATCTATCTATCTATCTATCTATCTATCTATCTATCTATCTATCTATCTATCTATCATCTATCTATCTATCATCATCTATCTATCATCAATCAATCATCTATCTGTTTATCTGTCTCTCTCTGATAGTCAGCTTTTCTTGTTTTAGTATCAGAATTTGGAGACTCCAAATGGGGAGCAATGTTTCCCAAGCTGTGGAGCCCCCTAGAGATTTGAATTTGCACCCCCTCCCCCATTCTCAGGGATCTACTGAGAGCTCCCTGTAGCTCCCAGTCCTCTGGCTCACATTCCCTATTTGAAGTGGCTTTGCTAACTCTTGGCCCCAGGGAGCCAGCCACACCCCAAGTTTCTGCAAGTTTCTGGACTGGGAAGTGGAGCCATGGCAGAGTTTCTAGGCTGAGAGCCTCATGGAGACTTTACTCACTGCCAAGTCCAGATCCCTGTGGGGATTCTGAGCACAAACTGTACATCCTTCTTATAGAACCCACAGACACCCACAAACACTCGTGAACGTGAGCACACATTCACACATACCAGTCACAGTAATACAGTGAGGTCACCATTTGATTAAGCTGATATTGGTCAGTCCTTTACACACACCTAAATTTAGAAGTTGCTAGAAGAGCTGGGCATGGTAGTGTACGCCTTTAATCCCAGCACTCAGGAGGCAGAAGCAGGTAGATCTCTGTAAATTCAAGGCCAGTCTGGTCTACATAGTTGAGTTCCAGGCCAGCCAGGGTTACACAGTGAGACCCTGCCTCAACAATAACAACAAAAATCAATCAGTCAAACAAACAAAACCTATTACTTTCCCAACAGCTTAATGCCTTTTCTCCTCCCAGCTTAAAAATGCATCATATCATGTATAGACTGAAGTATGAGATATATCCATGCATATCACAAGGTAGGTAATTATATGCATTCAACTTTATAACTGTGGCCATTTAGAATATCATGACAACCGGTTTCTCTCTCTCTCTCTCTCTCTCTCTCTCTCTCTCTCTCTCTCTCTTGTGTGTGTGTGTGTGAAGGTCTCACTCTAACACCCAACTTAGCCTAAAGTCTGCTATGTAGACTAGTCTGGTCTGGAACTTAATGATCCCTCCTGACTCTGCCTCCTGAACACCGGGGTTACAGGTATGTGCAATGCCTGCCTGGCTCCTAAATCATTTGATGGGATCCATCAAAATGTTCGAAGGGCCACCACCACTTAGACAGTGGCTCCAAGAGCCAAGATCTTGAGAAATGTTATGAAAAAAGTCATCTCTTCATTTATTGATAATGTTTCAACAATTTTACAGGCACAAAGTCAGCATGGCAACGATACATGTTCTTGGAGCCAAGTTTACAAAAAAGATGTATAATAAAACAAATTAGAGCTTTCTAAAAATCTTTGCATAATTTATGCCTCCAGTACCAAAAATGTTTTGAAGATGAAAAGCACAACATAGTCAGTCTTAAAAAGGGAAAGAAAAAAAATGCTGGAGAGATGGTTCAGCAGTTAAGAACACTGGCTGCTCTTACAGAGGACCCAAGTTTGGTTCCCAGCACCCAAATGGTGACTAGCAACCGTTCGTAACTCCAAGTCCAGCTAATCCAACACCCTCTTTTGGCCTCCACAGGCACTGTACATACATGGTGCACTTGCATACATGCAGACAAAACACTTATATACATAACATAAAAATAAATAAATCTTTTTAAAAGGCTGATGATGTAAAATAATGGGGAAAACGTTAAGCAAATTAAAACTGAAGGGCTGGAGAGATAGCTCAGCAGTTTAGAGCACTAACTGCTCTTGCAGAGGACCAGGGTTCGATTCCCAGCACCCACATAGCAGCTAACAACTATCTCTAACTCCAATTCTAGGGGCTCTGATGCCCTCTTCTGACCTCTGAGGGCATTGCATGATGGGTGCACTTACATACATGCAGGCAACACACTCATACACATAAAATAAAAATATTTAAAAATATATTAAAAATTACATTTATTCATTTAATTTGTGAGGAGTAGGGGCACATGTGCCATAGCATGTAGAAGTCAGAGGACAATTTGCAGGCATGAATTCTCTCCTTCCACTATGTGGGTCCCAGGGATTGAACTCAGGTTGTCAGCTTGGTGGCAAGCACCCTTAACCGTTGAGTCATCTCATCAGCTTTTTTTAAAGAAAGGTCTCATGTAACCCAGGCTGACCTTGAACTCCTCTTTGTAGCATAAGATAATCTTGAACTCCTCCTGCCTCCACCTCCTAAATGCTATAATTACAGGCCCATGCCCCCATACCCTGCTCTCATGTGTGTTCTGTGTGGGTGATTTCCCCACCTCACCCATTCACACTCATACTCTTCTGTTTTATTGACACAACCTAAGTAACACCTTCTCAGGTTTCTGGGAATCTGTCCTCCCTGATGTCATGTCCCGTGGACCTTCAACACACTAACCCTCCTGTGGAACCTGAGTTCTGCCTCCCTTCCAGAGCCCTTTTCCCCATGGACATCAAGGTTTTCAATGTTGCCTTTTAGGATTTCAACATTCAGGATTTTAATATTTCTGAAATATGGTTTTCATGATTTTAGACACGATTTTAGACACTTGGTCTTTATGGCATTCTGGATTGTCTGTCTGGACTAAGACTTATAATACTTGTTCAATCCAATTTCAAACCCAGCATCACATGTGGAATTTGTTTCTTTCCTTTCTTCTGTCTTCCTTTCCTCCCTTCATCCCTCCCTCCCTCCTTACCTCTGTTTCTTTATTCTTTACTTCCTTCAGTACTGGGGATTGAATTTTGGGCCTAACTCCTGTTAGGCAAGTGCTCTGCCACTGAGCTACACTCCTACCCCTCTTTCATATTTATATTTTTAATTTTTTGCATGTGCATGTGTATATGCATATTCACATGTGTGGGCACACATATGCAAGCATGTGGAGGCCTGGGGCCAATGTTGGGAGTCTTCCTGGATCATCCTCCACCTTATTCATTGGGTAGGGTCCCTCAGTTGAACTCAGAGCTCACCAATATGGGTCTAGCTAGCCAGCTTGCTCCAGGGATCCTTTGTGTCCACCTTCTCAGCTCTGGAATTACAGGCAGGGGGTCATACTTGCCCAGCACTTACCTGGGTGCTGGGGATCCGAACTCTAGACCTCATGCTTGCATGGCAAATGCTTTATCCATTGAGCCATTTCCCCAGCCCCTCTGACGTGTGGAGCACTTCATGAATTTGTGTTGTCATTCTTGCTCCAGGGACCATGAGAGCCTCTCTTTATTGGTCTAGTTTCTGTGCACCTGCTGCCAAGGCGAGTACTTTTTAAAGTTCTGAGACAGAATCTCACTAAGTTTCTAAGGCTAGCCTTAAACTCACTCTGTAACCCAGGCAGGTCTTGAACTTGTGATCCTCCTGCCTCAGCCACCTGAGTAGCTGGGATTACAGATCAGTGCTACCAGGCCCATCTCACTGAATTGTTCCCTTAGGTCCCTCCAATCTGTGATAAGTGCTTGGCATTGGCATTGCCACATTTGAAGAATTCTGATCAATTATTTGCAATGTGGGTTCACCTGATGTTTCCCCTAAATAGATTAAGTTTCTGTCTTTTGGCCAAGCTTAGCCTGGGTGGGTAGAGTGAGTGACAGCCCTGCTCCTTGCTTTGGATCCTTGCTTAACATCCTGTCTCTCAACTGCAAATCAATCGCTTTCCCCTTTCTAATTAATAAGCCACTGCGATTAACTATGCAAATGTCATAGAGCTCATGATTTTAGCATGCATTGACAACCACTGTCCACAACAGTGCTTACTGTTATGTTCCCTTATAATGACCTGATTACATCATTCCTATGCACTTATTAATTGGAGTTCTGCTTCATGGGAGTTAATCTAACATTACTATTTCTTTTAGAGTCATTTTGAGACAGGGTCTCCCTGTAGCAACACTCATACACATAAAATAAAAATAATAAAAATATATTAAAAATTACATTTATTCATTTAATTTGTGGCCTGGAAATCATTCTGTAGACCAGGCTGGCCTTGACTCACAGAGATCTGCCTGCCTCTGTCCCCAGAGTACTGGGATTAAAGGCACGCACCACCATGCCTGGATAACAGTACTATTTTTTATTTTGTTGCTTAGGCTGACCTAATTCTGGTTGTTGGGAGA